GATACTTTATAGGTAGTATTGATTTCTTAAAATGTTTGCTTTTACAGAAAAGGAGAAACCATTGCGGACTAGTCGTTCGTAATGGCTGATTATTTGTTTGGCCTGTTTTATCAGCGTTGTATTAGTTGTGTGGTGACAGTAATAGCAGGAATATCCCCACTCATGTGATGTTTTCTTTTGGCTAGTTTTCCTTGGTCCCGTTTAGTTCAAACAGGGAAGTAAATTGAGATCAAAGAGACTCCTCCTAATGTTGCGAGAACGCGCGTTACCCTGCCGACAAACCATGACACCTCCACCTTTCCGATCTCTATTAACAAGTCCATTTCAAAACTCGCGGTTCGAGTGCAGCCCTTCTCCCTCCATGTTCTCCGCCTTTCTGGCTTTCCTTCAAGATTACAACAACTATTGTGCTACAACATATACCCCTAGGAGAAGTATAGCAAACCGTGCCGAAGGAGTACCGCTCGCTCGTGCAAAGGCGAAACTGATTCCTAGCGCGAAGCACCGTCGTTCATTCACTATTTAGATTGAGCAGCGCTTGCTGCCCGTGGCGAGCGCAAAACATAAATGCACACATAGACATCTATCTATCTATATATATATATATATATATATATATATATATATACGCGTATGTGTATAGTGTACCTACACAAGTAGAACGTATAGTGCAAAATAACGGACTCGCACAATGGCACTCAAAATAGAGAAAGAGAGACAGCTTTGCGTATGTCTTCAGTCTAGCGCAGAGGCGACAGGGTGGCACGCCCACCAGGTGCGCTGATCTCATTGCTCCTTATCAAATTATGGCCTCCATCGTCGGTTCCTTGGTTCTGGCTATATCTATCTACACACATAGATGGATGCCGACGAGGCTGCGCAGACGGCAGCGGACCTGCTTTATATTGTGGAAGCGCTAGGAGCAAGTCGTACACAGCGCTAGTTAAGTCTATGTATATATGTAGGTAGGTTGTTGATGCGCTTCTCGAGCAGCTTGACTGCGACTGGCTCGACACGAGGCATGTTATGCTATCTATACTAGCCCTCGGTTTAGCGCGCTCTTCCGATGCGAGCATACTCTCAGAGGAAAATAAGGAAAGAGATGAGTCCTGGGGGATTCACATGGGGAGTTCATGGTGAGAGGGGAGTCATGGTGAGAGTGTACAGCGCCAGGTAGTTCCACAGGGAAAGCACGCTCGTGCCACTGTGTGGAGTGGTGCAAACCCATTGACAACTCTACGCCTTGATAGTCAGGGTTGTGCTATTGCTAGAGAGAAGAAGGCGTGGTTGTTAGGTTTTCTTTAGGCTCCATCACAGGCTCATAGACCAGGGACGGTCTTTTGACCGGGTCTGGCAGCTAAATGCTAGCGGATGAATGAGCGAGTGAACAGAGGGCCTTCTAAAAAACATGTTTGTTTGTTGATTTTTTTTGCAGACACCTTTAAAATTTAGTGGTTTACTCTCGGATATTCGTACTTTATAGTTTGTATTAGTTTTGCGGTGGTGCTAGTAAGGTGCAACACTCATAAGCATAAGAAGATTCAAGTTTCAACCAGAGCTTAATAGTTGCTTCAAATTATATGAGCCCTTAACATCAACTGCGCAGTGACACCTAATCACCATAAATGTCTGTAGCCTTCCTACCTATAATACTGCATATGTAGGCTAGACTCCGTCTAGACGTAAGCCTATCGACAGCTTAGTGCTGTTAAGATGCTCTTCCGTTGCAAACATTCACAAATCGTTGTAAAGATGTCCGAGAAAAAACCTAATCAATTTGCTCACTCTACATATAGATATCTGCGCATATACTCTGCATATGCGTGACCATGTTTTTTGTACTTATCGTGCAATAAAACTGGCAAATTTACTCTGCAGAATTCTTTCCTTTAGATACGTACTCTATCTATGCAGCTATGATTCAGGAAAACAAGCTCACTCCGCTATTATCAGCATACCTTGGTACAATATATTTTTAGTCATAAGGCTCATAGCCTGTAGTAAAGTAATAAGTCTGCGAACCAATTCTGTACATGCTATATTACGAATAGGAAATGTAGAACCACCCGCTGGCTTAACGTATTCTTCACTTATTTTAAGCAGACGGCTGAATACGTCCGGACGAGTGAGATTACACGTAGACAATATTTGTTATTTTCATTTTATAATATGACTGTTTGGGTGCTGCACAATGTGTCTAAGAAGAGGCCTATTGTCAAAACCTACTAGTCTGACAGATAACGCCCTTGTATACGTATTTCCGACTCGTGTAATATATTAAAGATAATAGATACAATCTGAAATGTTGTTCCTTCAGATTAACTTAACCAATTTGTGTTTACTGCTGTAATCATTACAGTGCTCTGATATCTAGCCATTTGTGCTTACATTAACGAGTATCCTGAGATATGATGTTTTCTACTACCTTTAAATGGTGCCTGATTGAGCCTGCCGACGATTTTACTCACTCCTTTAACGCAAACGTCGTCGATAAGCTTACGTATAGTGCTACCTGGGTACGTTACGTGTGTAGCTGATTAGTATGCCTGTAGCGTCTATGATCACAGGCTCGTTTAAACTAAATTCTCTTACTTGATTACTCAACTATTTATTATCGCCATTTCTGGAACAGGGTGATTGGTACCTGCGTGGTTACAAAGTTCTGTAGTACTGAACCCGCTGACTCCCAACGGTTCATCTTGACGGCAATAAAATTCAGCTCAATTTTGTAGGGTATTTTCGTTTTTTAGCATGAATTTAATAAATTAGACATAGGATTTCCATTGTAGTATCAAAATATGCATTTCAATATACGGTGCATTATGCACCAGTCATATATATATATATATATATATAACACGTGTTAAATCATTTTTCACTGGTGGGTGACTTTATTACATGTTTTATGTAATAAATTCTTCTTATAAAGTAATGTAAAACGATATTGTTTATTGCAAGTTGCACATATAGTAGCTTTTATTTACGTGTGATCCTCAAATGGCCTAAAGTAAATAATATTTCTTCAAACTATATTCTTCCGGCCGAAAACACAGTACATGTGTCATGCGAAGAGTTAAATATAATTTTCAATTTTTATTATTCATTCTTCATCTCGTGTTAATGTGGTAAGCAGCTTTGTTAAGAGAGCGTAGCACATAAGCCTATAACTGTAGCTCTATTTATTACTATATGTTATTATTAAAATGGCGTTACAAATGAATTGTTTGCGGCTGCATTATTATATTAACGCTAGTATTATTTATTCCGTAAAATAATTATCTGCATGCCTAACGGTTAAAAGTATGCTAAACAGGAAGGCACTATCTTGAGAGCTACCGATTTGATGTCGTTTGACCACTTCTTATGATCAATTTCTGGTCGGGCTGGTTGGCCGTTCGGTCGGCTCCTTTCGGAAAACCTGCAGGAGGGGGGGGGGGGGGGGGCGAGGGATCTCATCGTCCATCTTTTGCTCCAATCTATGTGACCGCTATGTGTTAGTTGCGGCTATTCGCTTGGAAAGGATGTTGAGGCGAGATTTCACTAAATGCACTTTGCATGTACAAACACAACGTCATCTCCCCTTTTCGCTTTCCTTATTGCTTACTCTCGGCCTCTCGAAAGATATCCAGCTACTATACTTCCTTTTATCAAACTTCCCATGTAGCAAAATCCCCTGTTGACTGACGAGAATCGCTGTGGGGATTCAGCTTATCGTCTTTTTCTCCCCTTTTATAACCCCACTTCCCTGGTAACACAAAGAGAACGACCCTTCGACAGTTATCGAAGCTGTGATGGGTTTCTGATGGACAGGGTGGCAACGCTGTGCGGTGCTCTTGGGGCGTAGGGGAGAAGGATGATGAGGGGAGTCTATATAAGGGACAAGAGATGGGAGGTTTAGGTATAACCGTAGCGGTTAGGGAACGACTGTGACATGCATGGGGTACACATACATGTATGAGGACCCCGTAACATAGAGATGCTACGATGTGCGACCTTTTTTGGAGCTAGGGAGAATAGACCTCTTGGTAGAAGGAAGAGGAATGTGCAGGTAGAAAAGTTGTGGGATGAACGAGAAAGCGAACATAAAATTGTATTCTTAGGCTGCTGAGTTAGGCGGTCAAACTCTAGTAGCTGTTGATAGCTTGATTCTAAAACGCCACGTGTATAGCATATAGCCTGTAGTAAGCGACAAACCCTCACAATATGTGTGTCACTGACTGCGCGCTCTTTGTATTTGCGATGTCGGCTGTGACCTGGCTGCCACCCTTCTCTAAGTAAATAGCTAAGTAACTAAGAAGAAAGAAAGAAAGATACATTATTAGATGATAGATCAGCTGGTTAGAGCAAGCCGAAACTACGAAGCGGACGGGTTGGCGAGCGCTCGTTGGGGATGAGCTATTTGTAACGATGTATCAAAATCATGTTTCTTAAAAGTTCTTCCCCCATTTGTCACAGTTTCGAATGCTAGAGATGCACTGGTAATGGTGGTTGTAGTAGTACTGAAAGCAACAAAATATGTTATGGTTGCAGTCCCACAGAGAGAACGGAGGACCAAATGTATCTGTCGGTGTTGAGCTTCAATTCAAGCTAAGTTGGATAAAATTGAAAACGCATACGAGAACCGGTTCTACTCTTAGCAATAAAAGTGAATCAGTGATACAATCGTGAGGGGCACAAAGATGGATAACTTGTCGTCTCGTATGTGACAAGCCAGTCACAATTGACTGATGGTTGTACGGTGTCATGGGACTGGGCTAATTATACAGAACCTTGTTTTCTACTATTCTAGCATATCTTACCTCAAACTACTCAAAACATCTAGAATGAATCTGAGTTAATATTTTTGCACGATCTTTTTTTTCTTTCAATTTATTATCTCATTATAAAGAAGATAATAAGTACGGGAGCATATTTTTCTAGCACTGACGGCTAAATTTCGATACATATTACAATAGTACACTATTTATAAAGCAAATGATTACATTCAGAGAAATATCGAAAACCACAATCAGTTTATTCTTCTTAATCATCATGATTTAAGATTAATGTCGAACCTGGTTGATCCGCCAGAATCGGAATTCTCTCTTCCTTACTCATTTGCCATCCGATCTGGCGACTGCTCAGGACCGACGACTACTGATGTTACAATCTCAATCCCGACAGTGTCAATGACAATGTGTGAATCGGTACAAGTTGTGAAATGCACTCTCAGCTTGTGGCTGACCCTTTGTCTAGAACTTCCTTAATATTCCAATCACTGGGACCACACCATTGACCGTCTTTACATACTCTACAAATACACGATACTATCGTTCTCATCTTTGCCCAAACCTCGTTTTACCTGGTCACTCTCTCTTGTTTGATCTTCGCGATTTTTTCATCTGCCTCGATTTGCCATCGCTTCAAGCGTCTTTCGTCCGTATCAACTCAGTGCCGATATCCCTCCATTAACCACCAGGCGCATCTTTGGCGTTTTAGAATACGCGTCTATGTGGTAAGAGATTTCGAATACCGGTACTTTAATTGAGGTTCAGAGTGACGCGACAAATCGAGGTTTCTCATTATTCCGTTTTTAATTTCTATTTCAAGTTCACCTGTCACCTGACGCACCCTCATCGTATTCTTGTAATTGATTGACATTTCCTTGGTTATGTCCGTTTGCTCTTTCTAGTACACACCCATTAACCACCAATCTTTACTTCCTTTTGCCCAAACGGTATAATCTTTCCTCTAGGCTATTAATTTTTTATGTACACAAAATGCAGCTTGCCCGCTTAGCAAGTCTAGATGACAAATGTTGTCTTTTCATTATGGACCTTCGTGATTCAGCTATGTACACGCACATACACATACAGAGAAGGCAGATGTTGACTGTTTCATATGTGATCATCATACTACCAACGTTGATAACTTTGGTTTGAATCGGAACGTATGGTACTAACGAACGTGCGCGGACCAATGCACACAAGTGCTTACGGCAATGCCCACCTAATTATTTTTTCCCTTTAGATTATATCATAATAATATGAGCTATAATAAGCGTTTATTTCTACTCTTAAGTGTACCACAATTGATCGACGATCACCACTTATCTGCTTCCTCCGATGTTGAATCGCTGGATAGTTAGTGCTGTCCGGGTAGCTATATTTGACAAGAGCCCCAATAATTTGTGAGTCTCTCTCTCTCTCTCTCTCGTTCCCTGTATGTATATATATATATATATCGCCTCACCATATTTATCTATTTGTTTATATTTATATATAATATATTAAGTACATTGTTAGGAATATCTTTTCCTTGGTTCTCTCCTTTTTCTATTGATCTTTTTCTTTTCATAGCAAGTTTTTGCCTGTTCTCATATTGAAGTCACTTCTGCTACAATTATAGTTGCAGTAATGGTCCGATGGCCGCCAGGTTCGGCTTCATGTCAGCAGTTTTGTGGTTTTCATCGACATCGCTATAAGTCTTTCTCTCCTAGGTATCTTTTTACCGTTGATTTTCTCTGGCGGTAAACTTCATCCGAGCTTCTGGTACCCGCCAGTTAGTTTCTGTAGTTCAGTTTCAGTCTCAAGCCCCATTGCGCTAGCCTTATTCCATCATCACCATCCCGGATCACAGATTGCTTATGCCTCATTATCCTTTACGACGCCATTGCTGGTTGCGTTTACGGAACAAGATGCTTCGTGTTTTATTGTCTCTGTACATCTGTACAGCATCGCCATCGCCATCACCGTCCATTCATTATCGACATCTTCACAGTTTTACTCGTTATTCCGGACCGCGGACGTAGTCATCAGAAACAATGTCCCCCAAACCTTCCGATGGCCGGGTCATTACCCGATACTATTTTTGAGGAAAAATGCCACACTGAATAGTGTTATTATAACTACTATTGTTTATTATTATTACTATCGTTATTATTGTTATTATGATCAGTATTATTATTTCCTCATATAATTCTCAGTAGTGGCAGAAGCATTACTTTCCTACTGATTTTTCCCGGCACCACCGTGTCGTATGTGATCTATGGTTGGTCGTTAGTCGATCACGAAATTCTCTGCCTTTCATTCTAATAGCTTTCTTTCATTGGCTTGCATTTTCGTCGTTCATCTGATCTATCCATTCAGTGTACGTAGCTTCCTTTTCCGAATGATATATAAGCTGGTTGGGTCATTGCCTTCCGAACTTACTTCGAACCCGGTTGTTTAATTAATCGTTGCCTCGTCTACCTCTCCGGCCGCCGGTTCGTTTTGCCACTTGGATTGCCGTCGCCTGATGACCACTAGATCCGCTGTGACGGTGTCCACGAACTCCACGAGCCCCATGAAGTCCACGAATGCCTCGAGTCCCGCGGCTTCTTCGACTGCCACGATGCTGAACGGCGGTCAATTCAGGCGCCGCTGTTTCAGTCGATGGTGGTCTTTCGCCGTCGTTAACTGCGTCATCGTCATCATCGACAGCATCACCATCGCAATGACCAATCGATGCTGATGTTGCAGGACGAAGGACAGGAACGATATTCAAAGTACCAGCAGTAATAGCAGCAGGAATAGTTGAAAGTGTTTTGCAAAGCGACGCTAGCGTGGCGACGTCCGTCGGCGACGGTGAGGAAGATGCCCTATTGTTGTTGTTGTTATAATGCGATATTTGATGTTCATGATGTTGCTGTTGTTGTGCAATAGGTAGTGCAGTTGCCCGATTAGTGGACTGTCGTAGTAAAGATAGTAGGGGCGCATGTAGAGCTGCAGCTGTAGGCTAGTCGCTAGTGGTGGATGACATTTCCGAGGGCGAACGCGGAAGCAGATGGCACGTTGAATCGTCCAATCCTGCCAGATAAGTGTGGCTTGAATCGAGAGACATCGCCACCGGCCCGGAGGGATCGTAACCATGCATCTGAAAGGGATCAAACACGTACACATTCTTTAACTTTAGAAAAAGGCTCGGGAATAGCCATTTACTATAATGGTATGATTTAAGGTGCACATCTATATGTGATTAAAATTACATAGATGTTTACAATTCAATTTTCTAGAACACCTATTCATATATAAATTACAAGAAAAGATGTACATAATCATAACGTAATTGCGTTTTTAAGAAACAAAACTGTCTGTGCGCTAGGTCCGGTTTTTGTCGTGGAGGTCTCCTACTTCAATCAACTACAAACAGTTATCTGGCGGAACACACGTTTTAGTATGTTTGTTGAGTGCAAAAATCTCTGTTCCCCTAACAGCCAACCATACTGACCTTTGGTTTGCTTTTTGATCTAGTTTGGTCTTGCTGAGCGCCGATCAATGTATTTATTATGGAGTCGAGCGTTTTTTTTTGGTATTACATATATTCTACTTGTCATACATCAATTATACATTATTCTCAAATTAGACTAATTATCGGTTTTAACGGGGTCTTGATTTAGCCGTAACTTGTAAGGGACGTTTCGCTAAACATATCTGCTTGTGTAATTTCACGTAAATGTATACGTTGAGGAAAATCATTATTGACTAGCAGATACCCGCTTTTCGTCGTACTGAAGGTATAGTGCGCCACTCGTTTGTACCGTCGTACGTCAATATAGACGTTTTTATATCGGCACGAGTACTTATCTTCGCAGTTAGTTAATCAACGTATAGCTAACGTCGGGATAGTGCCAAGTCGCCTGCATGCCTGTACTGGCGTCGGCCGTTCTCTTCGTAAATAACCATTGAACAAATAAACTATCGTATTGTATTCAAGCAACCACACTTAATTATGTTAATACTACTATATCTGATAGCTCCAATATATTCGAATCTTCATATCTGTATACATATACAACGTTGCGGCGGTGACAGCGTTGACGCGATTGTATCCCTACAGTGTAGACCGTGAAGAAACGGTGAAAGGCAGTATAGTGTACGATAGTGCTAACGGCGACCACTGCGACAACAAAGGGCCTCGCAGTGATCTACTACGAAACCTGTCACCAAATAAATCAGATAAAATAAAGCGAGACAAAATGGGTTTGCTTTTTGGTCATTCGTTAGCAGGGGCATGTTACGCGTCCGTGTCTCCAAACCCTTGCGTTTCCACTTTTGTGGCGTATCTCTGTAGTTCCGTATCTATTATACGCGTATGCCCGCGTCTAAATGAGAACGTGTTAGTTTCTGTGTTTGCCTGCGCGCAGGCTAATTTGGCTTTCCGTAGTCGCCTTCTTCTTGTTGTACCCGTAACGGTTTCGCCGTCTTTTTGGGAGAACGTAGTAACAAGTCGTTAAACGTTGTAATACGTAATAGTAAGCCTACGACAATAGCGATGGTAGCAGCGGAATCAACAAACACAGTAAGGTTATTGTATAACTTATAATATCACAGGTCTGACGTGATACGCCGCGACGGTTACCAATCTCGCTGCTGGGCCTACTGAGACTATTGTTATTGTTTCCTTGTGCAAGAGAGAAAAGTAGCAACATTGCTATTGGATGAAGCTGAGTGCGTAGTACGGTGGTGGGGCCACGCACGACAGGAGCTAATGTTGACGCAATTGATACTCGGCGGACGGTTTGGGTTTCGCCTGGGTTTTGGACTATGTTGGGTTGTTCGTTCATAATGTGATGCGATTGCGGTGTTACGAGGAGATTATCACAGGAGGACCTGGCTTCAGTGCTTGCTCCGTCCGTCCGCGCGTGTGTGTGTGTATAGTATTATATATTTGAATATATCTCTGTTTTGTTGTGTGTGGTGAAGCCTGCAACGGCTTCTATAGCAGCAGCGGCAGCTATAGGAGCAAGAAACACTGTTGATTCGACTTCTGCGGCCGCTGCTCACGGTTGCGTAGCCGCCAGTCAACGTAGTCGCTAGACGGCGCTACGCGGGGCAATAAATAAATGATAACAACGACCATTGCTACGAACCAAACGACCAAACAGCGAGAAGATTTCAACGCTATTACTTTGCCCTTTTCCGTTTTCTTATAGTTGGTCGTTGTCTTATTCATCATCACGATCATGATGTTTGTGATAATGTTGATTATAAACGACCTGATGATGGCGACGACAATGGACGGACGGAAACGCATGCTGCTGCAATGACAGCATCTTCGAAATCAAGTCCAGGAGCGAGGGAGTCCACAGAATCCAGAATCAAATGGAAGGCAAATGTGAAAGGAAATTATATTGAATGCGCAGGATCAAGCTGACAAAGATTCTCGCATCATTCAAGCTCCTATTTATTTTTAGCGAATGTTAAAAAAGTGTTTCTAAACTAATTAAGTACGATTAGGATGGAAATTATTTTTTATGTGAACTTATTTTCTGTTTCGTTTTAACTCAATAATTATTTGTCTACGGTCGCTGCCCTCGGCGCCGCTTCTGTCATTGCTTTGACCATTGTCTCAGACACCCATTCAATTTTATTGTGAAATTCATATCTCTGCAGGCAACTGCAACGAATGTCGACCGCGCCAACGGCACAGAAACGATGTGACGGCGTCTAATAGTTCACAACCGATGCTTCAAAATAGTTTAAAAAACCAATGTAGTTATAACAAAACTAGTTAAACATTGCCTTTCTTTCAAATAAAAATACGGATAAATGGTGCTAAGGCCTTCCGTTGCATGAACTATTCAAAATGAATCCGATTCACTCAAGCAACACTCTTGATTTGAGTAACATTGTTATATTGTTGACCCCTTTTGTGGGGAAAAAAAAGCTTTTTGAATAAGCCCACAGCTCGTCTCTACAGCTCGAAATAGGTTTGCGTGACTTGTGGATAATAATAATCAGTCTGCCTAGCGTCTTGTCATTGACCGCTCACAGGCTATGTATCATTGGCACAATGGCAGCCACCATATTGTTACCAAGCGATGCCACTAGTGCTCTATCTTCCGTATGTCCTCAGCTCAATATGAACAAAACCTATTCTCGATACGTCGAATATGAACCAGATAAACGATATAATAACTAATGTGCGGTCAATTCCGATATGCCACTTTCGATTAACTCGACTCGTGGCTTATGGTTACGGGACGAAGGAAGAATGGAAACGAAGTGTTTACTCGCTTGACGATAGGTCTCTGTGTGTGTTATTTCTTTGTCGACACGGAACGACGTGGCGAACCCAGAACGGACGATACAACTAATCACATGTTAACAAATCGAGATAGGCATGAATCGAAGAATAAAGGCTATCCGCCACACAAGAACGCACCGTTTGTTTCCTTTCTTCCTATCGTTTCTAATTCTGCCTCTGCCGCGTTGAGGCGTTGATGTTCTTAACCGTTCCGTGGTACGTTGGGACGACCAACGAGGTGGGCTGTGCTTATCGCCGCCGACGCCGCCCGAAAGAGATCTTACCCAGCGAAGATGTTATGTAAGAAGCTCGTTGTCCAATGGAAGAAGACACACGTTCCGTTTCATCTCCGCCTCGCCGCGCCGCCGTTTCCGTCGCCGCTTTGTCGCTGACGGATGGCAGCAGGGGACGCGTACTATGTCGTCATATTATACGTATTGTTGGAGAAGATCAAGCACATCAAGACCTCTGGCAGCCGCCGCCACCAGAACTGTCGATAAATCATTGAAAAAATTCTTAACGGCAACAGTAAGTCATATATTGGACCATTGCACACAGCATGTCTTCGGCCGTACACGAGATACATTTGTGAAGATTACGTACGAGGAGGAAATAGGTATTGAACATCGTAACAGAATGTAGCGGTTGGCGATCGTAAAGGCTCGGCAGGTGATTTCGAGAATGAGTACATCGCACCATTTGCAAGTTAGTGATTTGTACCCTCGGGCAAATATTTACGAATAGCAAGGGCATATTTGACATACTGCCCACCTATGATTACGAACTGAACGGTAAAAAAATATATGTTTATTTTTCCATAACGACAATTCCACGGCGAAGTAGCAACAAGCTAGATTAATCCAAAAGAAGCAAATGGAGTAATCGTGGTGATATTAATCCAGTCGCGCTTAGTAGAAAAAAAAGTCCAAGCTAACACACGTATATTTGTAGCATTAACAAATTGTACCGTTCAGTAAACATACACGTTTTCGATATGACTGGGCAACAAGATTAGGTAAACGCTAGCTCTTGTGATCTCTTGCGACCGGTAATCGATTTACTTTGAGCGCGACCCATCGCCGTATCGTTCCCATAAACCTCCGTGTTTTGTTGCTAATCGCTATCTTCGAAGCTCGTCCGGCCTCACCCACTTCTACTTAAAACGATGATAGTCACCTACTGCCGCTAGGGCGTTCGTCGTGTAAGGCCGTGTAAGGGTCGCTACGACTATCGTATTTTTTTTCCAAATTCCGTCTGTTCGAATTACCCACAGGAACTACTTAAGGGGAAGAGCATTTCTCGATTAGACGGAAAAGTACCTCGAGCACCGTGGAACGAACAGCGGTTTTTGCGTTTCAACGACGTTTATACCCAAATATGAGCTTCCTTTTTTGTATGCAGGTGCCAAAATAAGGCGTGCCCTTACGCATTATGTCGTATCAACACACACTGACGAAGTAACACACAAAATCCCGTAAGTCTAAGCTCAGCGTCGCTGTTCTTGTACTAGGTAAAGTATTAAGTTGTTGTGGAAAACCAATGTCCCAGCCCAACTCGGTAAAAGCTTCCGTCTTGCGTCGTCGTACGTCGAGAGCGTTACAGAATTGTTGAGTCATAGGAAAACCGTAGGCGTTCAAAGTAGAAAAATGACTGCGCGGTTGGCGCTTATAACGCTAGCAGCTGGCACGACAGCTGCTGCAACGTACACTAGAGGCGTACCATGTGGACAACAAAACTCTCCATGGTGATGATGGTTCAGATGAGGCTGTTATTGCTACTGCTGCTGCGCCTGTCTTGTTTATGGTAATGCAATAAAACTTGGACGCAAGACAAATAATGAAAGTAAG